TCCCGCCCACAGTGAGCGCCGCGCTGCGCATGCTGGAGGGCCGCGCCAACAAGGAGGCGCAGGACTTCGTCAAGCGGCTGCGCGAGCTGGAGAAGAGCATGGAGGCGGACGCGTGAGCCCGTCCTGCCGCCCGCGCCCGGCCCCTCCTCCCCGAGCCGCCGCCTTGGTGTCCCCGCCTGTGCTGCGTGGTGTGCGTGCTGTGGGTGGACCCCGTGGCTTCCTGCGCCCGTGCCGTGTTGGTGTGGCGTGCTCTGCTAATCCCCGCAGCCCTGCGTGACCTCCCACGGCCCCCCACCCCAATCTGGACGCAGACCCCACGGTGCCAACGCCCCAGCGGCTGCCCTGGGGCAGAACGGGACACCGAGCCACCAGGTGGGTGTTCTCCCCCTTGCCACCTCACACCAGCCAGCGGGGGCGGTGCTTGCCTTTGGCAGGGGTGCTCAAGGCACCCGGGCTGTGTCCTCCAGGGATGCTCTGGACATCATTCTGGGGGTGGGGGTGCTGTTAGCACCAGTGGGAGAGGCCAGGGCCACTACCCAGCATCTTTGGCTAAAGGAGGCGTCCCCCCAACAGTGACCTGCCCCCAGGTCACCAGTGCCACAGCCCCACGCTAGAGGAAGCCCCCAGCAGATCAGAGGTGAAAGGCCTGAGGGCAGAAGCTGGAAGCAGCTGGGGCCCCGGTGGAGGCAGGAGAAGGGGAGTGTCTTTTTCCTGCGCCTCTCACCCTCCAGGTGGAAACAGAGCTCCTGGACCCAGGGAAGGCTTCTGGCAGGGTCATCCCCCGAGGGTGGTGGGCCAGGGCAAGGGGCTCCCCGCCCGCCAAGAAGTGAGGCCGCCTGCACTAACACCTCCTTCCAGCCAGATGCTGGGAGCCCCCACCCTCCCCCAGGGGTGCTCCAGGCTGAGTGCAAAGAAACAGACTCCTACGGGCTCCTTGACTGCCAGCTTTATTGACAGATGGGGCTCCAGGGCAGAAGCCAGGCAGAGCCTTGGCAGAGATCGAGTGGCTGATGTCCCCAAGGGCCGAGACCACCAGACCCGCCTGCTCCCCACTCCCTGCTGCCGCCACCAGAGCGCCTCCCAGTCAGCTGTGCAAAATACACGTCAGTGACCCCTCAGTCTCTCTGCCGCCTCCTGATTCCTTTCCAAACGCCTGGGGTGCTGGCCTCCGCGCCCTTCCCCGACTGCTCCTCCCCCCCCCTCCCCCTCCCCCTCGGTGCAGCTGCTGCCACTGCCCGCTCCGTCCTCAGCTCCCGGCCCCTGCTCCTCGTCCTCGTCACTGTCACCGCTGTCCTGGGCCAGCCTGGAAGGGATAGTGCAGCATGTCCCTGAAGGGATAGCCCCACGCCAGCCTGCCTGGCGCACTCACCCCCAGGGCACGGTCCCAAGGTGCCTACCAGCTGCTCCCATCCCCTCTCGCAAGCCCTCGCTGGGTCACCTCCCCTCCCCCTTCCCCACAGGAAGAACCCATCACCCATTGTGGGGGTGCTCTGGGCCCGGCCCCTCCCCAGGAAGCCCACTTACTGGACGCTGCCCACCGGCCTGTTGGGGTTTGCAAACTCCCGTCCTGAATCCACGTCAAAGGGGTCTGAGCCGGGGAGAAAACGGAGGGCAGTGAGTGCTTATGCCTCGGGCAGGTCCCAGGCGCACCCCGGGGCCAGGGCTCACCGATCTGCTCGTCCTCACAGCCGTTCTTGGCGCTGGTCAGGAACTCTTCCTCAACCTGCAGCACGTCGTCCGGGCCGCTGCAGGCCGCGTACCTGTCCAGGAGCTGGCGGTTCAGGTCCAGGAAGCCCTTCCCCCACTTAAACTTCCGAAGCAAAATGACAGCAAGATCGGAAAAGCCTGGCAGGGCAGGAAACGGGAGAGAGTGCTATGCCCACAGTCCCACTCCTGAGACAGCCCAGATCACTCTCAAGGGCATCGCGGGGAACTGAGAAGGTCCCCTCCCAACACCAAGTCACTCCACACAGCTGGGCCCACTCACCAGCCCCGCCTCCTGCTACTGTCCCCACTGAGTCTCGGGGCTGTCCTGAGAAACACATGTACCATCCCCCCCAAGGCCACCCTGTGGGACCTCCATCCTGAGCCTCTCTCTGGGTGTGAATCTCTAGACACATCGGGTGAGGGGAGCTCGACTGTGCTGCTCTGTAACCCCAGTACTGGCCAGGCCAGCCATCTCTGGGCGAGGCTTTCAAGGGGCAGCTGGGACTGACATCCTGCTCTGCCGGCCTCCGCCCTGTCACTGTGTCCCTTCTCGCGCTCTTCCCGGGGCTGAGTCAGGCCCGGGATGGGGCGCTCACCCAAGATGCAGAAGGTGGCTGCAAAGGCCTCCACGCAGGACAGCTTGCAGGGCCGGCCGTAGTTCACAGGGTTGGCGGCCACCAAGTAGGGCAGCAGCCGCAGGTGACTCCCCCGCATCTTGCCAAACGGTGTCTCGTCCAGTCTGGCCCAGGAGCAGTCGATGACGGCCACCCCTGACTGGGCCACCAGCTGTCTGCCAGGGATGGCATCAGGCTGGGTCGTCAGGACCAGCGCCACCTCAGTGGTGTCCCCAAGGGAGCTATGTCCTTGGAGACTAGCCTTACAGTTCAAGGACCTCATTCCCCGAATCCCCACACGACCCGCCAGGGGGCAAGCGAGCTCCGTCAGTCACTCAAACGCCGCTTGCTGCCGCTCTCCCATAGCCCACGCTCTGCCGCGGGCGCTGGGGGCACCCCAGACACGCGTGTTCCCAGCCCGCGTGCCCCAATGTCTTGGGGTGACGGAAACGAGCAGCAGAAAGCTGCGATTTCCCAAGAGAAATCGCGCGCGGGAGACCCACGGACTCAAGGCGGGTCAGCCTGGGCGGGCGCCAGCCACGGCCCAGCCGGGACGCCCACGCCCAGCCCGCCGCCCCCAGGCCCCCGCGCCTACCTGTCTGCGGGGGACACGTACTGGGAGCCCATGGGGCTGAGCACGAGGCCGCCGAAGCGGTGGCCCAGGCGCAGGCGGCGCACCAGGCCCAGGCGGGCCAGCTTGCGACCGGTACAGCGCCGGGGGTCGCAGTGGCCTAGCTCCCACATGGCCAGCGGGCAGGGCAGCTCCGCCGCGCTCGGGTCGCCTTCATCCCCAGCCTCCTCCGCCTCCACGGACGCTGCGCCGGGACAGACAAGAGGACCGGCTTCAGGTGTGCGCTCCGCCGGCTGGCCCTCGACCTCCGACCCCGACCTGGCGCTCTCTCCAGCGCCCCGCGCTCACCGCGCAACGCGGCGCCGACCTCTTCGGCGAAGGCCTCCAGGGAGCGGCCCGCAGGCCGCCGTGCGCGGCCACCTTCGGCCCCTGGGCCGCGCACCGCCCTCCTGCGCCCCATGGCGTGGAGCAGGCTGCCCCGACGCCGCTGGGCGCGCCGCTTCCTAGTCCGTGGGACGCTCAGCGGCAGTCCGCGCACGCGCTGTGCGTCACTTCCGGTCCCGGCGCTCACAGGACGCGAGCCGCGCACACGTGACGCGCGCCGGCTGCGGAGCGATGGCGGCGGCGGCGCTGGCGCGCTTCCTGCTGCTGCTTGGACTAGCGGCGCGCGGTTAGTGGCCGGGCTCCCCGCTCTGAGACCTTCCGCGTCCCCTCTCACGCCCCCACCCGCCCCGTGTCCCCGGGCTCCGCTCCTCTGGCGCCCGTCACACCTGGGCTTGTCGGCCCAGCCCTCAGCGCCTCGCTTCTCCTAGGGCCGGGATCCGCGGGCGCTGCCAAGATGAAGGTGGTGGAGGAGCCCAACACGTTCGGGTGAGCGGAGTGGCGAGCGGAGTGGCGGGCGGCGCGCAGCGGCGGCCGGCGTCCCACTGCCGACGGACCTTCTCGCTTCCTATAGGCTCAACAACCCGTTCCTGCCCCAGACCAGTCGCCTGCAGCCCAAGAGGGATCCGTCGCCTGTGTCTGGTGAGTGCAGGATCCCGGCCGGCCGGGGTGCGGGGCGAAGCAGGCAGGGAACCAGCTTCGTGCCGTGATGGCGGCCGCCCAGGAGCCCCCTAGCGGGGCACGGTGGACGGGGGCGAGAAGGGCAGCTTTGGCCGAGAGACCCTGCGCGTTCAGGCCGGCGCGCACCTGCAGTCGTTTGGTGACGCATTGGTAGTGAACTTGGCTTTTTCACAGCTGAACGTTTCCTGTCGGCTTCCTTCCCCGGATTTAGTCCCTATTTCCTTTTGCAGAGGCAGTCGTTAGCGGGTGTCTGTCCTTCCAGGTGTATTTCAGTGCTACTCCGTGCATACATTTGCAAGTAGGAAACGTGCAGCGGTTTATTGCACTTTTTGTTTTGTTTTTGGGGAAAAAGAAAAATGATGCTACCCCAGTTGGTGGCTTGAAGCCCTGCACGGTAATGGCCGTGGGTGGTCCTCTTTAATGGCTGCCACTAGTTCCGGGGACGGTCTGCATTCTGGTGCTGTTAGCGTTGGGGTTTACGTGCACTTCCGCGTGTGCGCATTAGGAGGCGCTCGAAGAGCTCGTGCACAGGTGTGAGTGGGGCCCCCAGGCGACCTCCCGGAAGCGCAGGTGCTGCTCGGAGCGTGTGCGTTGTAACGCTGAGTGGGTAGGAAGTGGGAACTGTTGCGGTCCGCTCTGTTAGGGTTGGTGCTGGGGTGCAGGTGAAGGGAACATTGCCCGCAGACACAGTCAGGCTGGTGGCGGGGGCAAACGTTGAGTAATGAAGTGAGTGAAGTCCTAGACCGCCCTGGGGTCGAAAACGGAAAGCAGAGTGTGGGGGACTGATGTTGGGGGCTTGCTGTTTTCGATAGATGGGAGCTCTGGTGGCATAGTGCCTAGGGCACTTGACTGCTAACCAGAAGGCTGGCGGTTCAAACCCACCAGCCACTCCTCGGAAGGTTGGGCAATCTACTTCCTTAGTGATACTGCCTCAGAAACCCAAGGAGAGGTCGCTATGAGTCAGGTCCGGCTCCACGACAGTGTTTGGGGTGTTTTGGGTAGGCGGTCGTAGATTCTCTTCCTTTATCCTATTAACGTGAGGTGACATCGATGGACTTTTCTAATGTCGCATCACCCTCGCGTGTCTGGGACAAAGCTCACTTCCTTGGGGTGTGTCATCCTCTCAGTGTGCCTGTGGACTCAGCCCCGCAGTGCTGCGCCGAGGACTTCTGCATGCCTACTCTTTTTTTTTTTTCCTGTAGGTGTTTTGTTTTTTTTGTTTTCAGTCTTTTCTTTTGGCTGGGAAGATTTTACTCACACATTTATATTTTGTCTATATCCTCTTTTTTTTTTTTTTAATTTGTGATCTTGGTGAAAGTTTATAGAGCAAATTCACTTTCCATACAGCAGGTTACATACACTTTGTCTCATGACATTGACTGTAATCTCCCACAATGCAACAGCTCCCCTCCCATTTCCTCCCCACAATTACCCCTTCCCTGTGCCCTTCCCTCCCTGCACTCCTGCCCTGAGCTGTCTCCCTGTGTGTAAGCAGCCCTTCTATTCTCCCATGATTGTTCTCTCCAAGGAGTGTATCTACCTAACGTAAATGTTCAGCTCATATGCCTTTTGTTTGGCTGGAAACCACAGGAGTGGGTTCATTTCCAGACCTGAAGAGCAGCTAGGGATCATAGTCTCACTGGTTCCGCCAGGCTCTTTCAGACCAGCAAACCTGGTCCCTTTTTTTTTTCTTCAGTTTTGTTCCACATTGTTCTCCCTCTCTATCCAGGATCTCCTACATAGATCTCCCTCTGAGTGGTTGACAGTGGTAGCCGGGCACCATCTAGTTCTGGCCTCATGGTCTTAGAGGCTGAGGATCGCATGGTGTACCAGTTGCTTGGAGTAACTGTTTCTATGCATCTTTGGTTTTCTTCATTCCTCTTTGCTCTGGACGAGGAGAGGCCCATCGATGCATCTAGATGGCTGCTCTGCTGCTGTGTAAAGGCTAGGGAAGGGCTGGGGTCATTTCCTCCGAAGGTGTTTGGTTGGATCCCCAGTGAAGCTTTCTGGTGCAGGACTCTTCTTTTTGGGGAGGTTCCTGATTTGAACTACTCACTTTACAGACTTGTTCAGATCTTCTATTTCTTGAGTCAAAGTAGAAAGCTTATATGTTTCTAGACATTTGTTCATTTCACATAGGTTTATCTTTGACTGTGATTTGGGTGAAAGCACATTCATTTTTTATACAGCAGTTCACATCCGTGGTTTGTTGACTGCAATCCCCATAAAGGAACAGCTTTGACTTCCTCCATGTAGTTACCTCTTCGCTTCTTTCCTAAGCATTCTTGCCCCCTGAGCTGTCTCCCTGTGCAAAACACAGCCCAGGATTGAGCGTTCTAAGGAGTGTATATACCTGGCCTAAGTGTTCACCCTAGATACCTGTCTGTTGTTTGGCTGGAAGCTGACTGAGTGCAATTTCAGGCCTGAAGGGTAACTAAGGACCATAGTCTTGGGGCTTTTACTAGGCTCTATCAGACCAGTAAGTCTAGTCTTTTTTATGATTTTGAGTTTTATTTCACTTTTCTCTCAGCCTATCCAAGATCTCCTGCACTGATCCCTTTCGAGTGGTTGGCAGTGGTAGCTGGGCACCATCTAGTTGTTCTGGTCTTGTGGTCGTACAGGCTGGGGGTCGCGTGGCCCACTAGTCCCTCGGACTAATTGTCTCCAGGCATCTTTGGTTTTCTTCATTGCTCTTTGCTCCAGATGAGGAGAGGCCCATTGGTGCATCTAGATGGCTGCCTGCAAGCTTTCGAGACTCCAGTTGCTACTCACCAAAGTAGGGTGTAGAACGTTTGTGAGTAGTATGTTAAGCCAATTGAACTTGATGTCCTCTGCCCCCAGAGTCCTGAGCCCACAGGTTCAACAACTCGCCCCTTCAGGGTGGTTGACTCTGCCTAACAAGTTAAAACTTTGTCTTGTTAGTTGTATCTGTGTGGACATCCTTACAGCACAAATACATACGTAGAAATACCGTCTGCCAACCTTATATATGGTCGTGGGTATATTCCATTTTGCCTAGACATACCTGATCTTTCAGCCTGACTACCTATGTATCTACCTGTAGATTAATGTTATTATTGATACAGTATTGCGTTGTGTTTATCTTTGTTGTATCTCTTGTGTACCTGTGTCTTCCTTTTCCTTAGTGTTACCGTCGGTAACTCCCTTTTGGTATATTGTCTTTCCCTTCACCCAAATCAGTACTTGTCTTTATCTGTCTAGAAGTATTCCCCCCCCATAACCAACAAAGTTTTCTTCCATATATAAACCTTTCCTTGACTTTTTACAATAGTGAACTAATAAAATATTTGCTCTACTGTGATTGACTTACTTCACTCAGCATAATGTCCCCCAACAGCATCCACATTATGAGATGTTTTGGGTTTCTACATCATTCTTTAGTGCTGCATAGTATTCCATTGTGTATGTATCATAGTTTGGTTATCCATTCTTCTGTTGATGAGCGCTTAGGTTGTCTCCAACTCTTTGCTATTGTGAATAGTACTGTGATAAACATGGGTGTGCATATATCTGTTCTTGTCCTAGCTCTCACTTCTTTAGGATATATACCTAGTAATGGGGTGGCTGCATCAAATGATTATTTCTTTTTCCAGATTTTTAAGGACTCGCCATACTGTTTTCCACATTGGTTGGGTCATTTTGCAGTCCCACTAGCGGTGTCTGAGAGAGTTCCAGTCTCTCCACATCCTCAGCAGCATTTCTTATTTTCTGTCGTTTTGAACTTGGCTATTAGTGCTGGGGTGAGAAGGTATCTCATTGTTGTCTCCTTAATGTCTAATGATCAAAAACATTTCTTTGTGTGTTTTGTTGGCTACCTGAAGACCTTTGGTGAAATGTCTGTTCATGTCTTCTGCCCATTTTCTAATTGGACTGTTTGTCTTTTTCATGTTAAGGTGCTGGAGTTTTCTATACATTTTAGAGATAAGTCCTTTGTCTGATACTGCACTGCCGAATATTTTTTCCCATTCCATAGGTTCCCTTTTTACTCTTCTGGAGAAGTCTTTTGATGCACATGAGAATTTAATTTTTACATGGTCCCAGCCATCTAGTTTATCTTCTGCTGTTGTGCATTTTTGGTTATGTTTGATAATCTATCTATGCCATATATTAGGGCCCCTAAGTTTGCTATTTTTTCTTTGATGCACTTTATAGTTTTAGGTTTCACAGTTAAGTCTTTGATCCATCTGGAGTTAGTTTTTGTGTATACTATGAGGTACGGATCATGTTTCAATTTTCTGCAAATGGATCTCCAGTTTTGCCAGCACCATTTGTTAAAGAGACTCTCTTCCTTGTTTAATGGATTTCAACCCTTTGTCAAAGATCAGCTGACAGAGGTGGGAGAATCTATTTAAGGATTCTCAGTTCTGCTCCACTGCTCTGTCAGTCATTGTACAGTACCAGGCTGTTGGAGGAGGAGTCAGCTGCAGGGATCGGGTGAGGGAGGGAACCCAGGCCACGCCCCACAAGCAGCAAGGCAGGAAAGCAGAGGAAAGGAGATAAAAAGGCCAGGGGGACCAGGACAGAGTGAAGAGGCGGCAGCAGGGATCCAGGTAGTGGAGTTTAGAGGCGTTTCGAAATGCTAAGAAAGACAAACTTGTCTGTCGCCTTGTCCTACTGTGGTGATGTTGCTGTGAGTCTTGAGGCTGTGCCACCGGTGTTTCTGACTCAGCGGGGTGCACATGGTGCACAGGTTTCAGCACAGCTTTGTGGTGGTGATGTTGTGTGTCAGCGTGGCTGGGCCTGGTTCAGTGGCCGGGCAGCTGGTGGTAGTTATTCCCCATGATGAGACTCGCAATCAACTCCATGGTGGGATCCACCACAAGCAGCCGAGTAGCTGCCTTTGGGATGTGGTCTTCCTGTGTATACGGAGAAGCCTGGGGAATGGTTTCAAGCCTATGGCACACTTGGACTGTGTCATTGCTTGGCAGCCTGCTGTGCTC